CAGGGCTCAGGCGGGGGACACACGGGCAACACCCGCTCCTGGGTCTGGCCCTGAGTCCAGGTGTTAGCGCTGCAGAGACCAGCCAAATCCAGGGGCTGAGGAGGAAGAACTGGTTTTCACAGATGTGACGGGCCAAGAGTTCAGGCCTTCACAAGTCAACAGAGATGCCCGTCGTCATCGAGGCTGGGGGGAAGGGAGGGGGGGGAAGAGCTCCGGACTCCACACGCCAGGCAGCACCGCTTCCTCCCCAGCAGGAGCCCCGAGGTCCGAGGGAGGGCGGGCGCCCCAAGTCTTCACGGCCACCCCCAGGCTGGCCTCTTACCCGGGGGCTGGCGGAGAGCCGAGTGCGGGCGGCTGAGCGGAGCCGGCAGGGAGGGCTTCCCGGGCGGGGTCAGCCCTGGGCTTGTCCAGCCGCGTCCCTCCCGTCTGCGAGGCTGCTCACGCAGCTGCGGTCCGTCCCCTGCGAGTTCAGCTCTCCCCGCACTTCCGAAGTGCCCCGGGAAGTGCTGCGCCGAGCCGCCCCGGCCCCGTTGGAGTCTTGGACCGCAGAGGGGTTGGCAGCAAGGCGGTGAGTGTTTTGTCCCAAATCTAGCAGGGAGGTGAGGACGGTGCCCCAGGTACGGAGGAGGAGGGACGGCAAGGCCCTGAATGGAGCTTACCGTTTTCCGCAGGTGACGTTGACATTGCACGGGTGAATTAAAACAAAAACCCCACAAACAAGCCAGTCACACATGGAGCACAGACGGGTAGTAGGCGTCCTGGAGACGGACAGTAGTGTGCAGTTTGCAGGGCGGAGGCGGGGTGGGAAGCCGCCTGGTTTGGGTGCCGCACAGGCTCCTGTGGTCGTTGGCAGTGGAGCTAAGCTCGAAGGAGTGAGGACTCGAGCCGCGGGTGAGCCGGGGGCCAAGTACTCCGGGGAAAAGGAGCCGCCGGTGTGGAGGCAGGAGCGGGAGCGGCTGGAAGGACCCGAGGCTGGGGGCACGAGACGCGGGGGCGGCAGTGGCCCGGACGGAAAGTGCCGGCTCGCCATCCGGCAGCGGGTCCGAAGCACAGCCAGTGTGGACAGCGGGGTGTGTGTTCTTGGGCTGGGAGGGCTGACTCGGGGACGCGCAGGGGGCTGCGGGCCTACGACCTCTGTGGTCTCTGAGAAGCCGAACCACGCTGCTGCCCAGACAGGAGTGCCGGGGGGGCGCAGGGGGTGGAGGGGACTGGAGAGTAGTCCCGGGAAGTCATGACGAGTGATGAGGAGTAGTTGCCGTGTGGAGCAAGAGGCCTGAGGCCGGTGCCGCTCTACAAGGACCGTCTCCACACTGGTGCATGCGGCTCTGAGGCTTTCCTCCAGCAAGGCGGTCACCCCACTGCTGGAGGGGAAGCAGGCGTGGGGGCTGCTCGGGGCCCCCAGCCCTTCCCTACATCCTCCTGTAACACAGCCTTCGTTTCGCCCACCACCAAGATGCGAGGTTAAATCGGAAGTGGATTTGGGCCCTCCCTGTGGGTTTGTGTCAGCCTAGGGGAGCCTTTGGGGGCCTGATTGGGAGCGTGCAGGCCTGTAAAGGCACAGGCGGTGTGACTGGGCCTGGCCGCACCAGACGCTCACAGCGCTCACTGGCCTCCTGGGGAAAGGGGGTGCCTTGCTTCAGCTTTTCTGGTGCTAGCCGGGTGGGGGTTTGGTACCTTCTCCATGCCATGGGTGTCTGTGAGAGTAAGCAGGTGCGTGTGCTTGCGGACATTGGAACCAAATGCAGTTATCTTAGTGACCAGGGGACTGGGTCTCTGGCCCCTGTTCACCCCTCCCTCTCTCCTGGGATTTGACACATTCAGCCTGGTGCAAATGACCAGGAATGTAGCTGTGCGTCTGTCTGATCCATTCAAGGATGGCCTGTGCCCCACACTGTAGCTAGAGTTGAATCAGGGGAGAGAACAGTGATTTTAAGTCCCATAAAGCCATAATTGAGCTCTGATAGGCCGACGTCAGATAAGCTTGTCCTGTGTGCTGATTCGAAGGAAGGCGGCAGAGCCAGAGCAGCGAGGAAGCTGGGGACTGTGCGGGCAGACCCCAGGCCTTGCTTGCACTGCTCAGAGAAGCCCAGGTAGCCTCGGCTGGAGGGGAGGGAGCAGCTCTGGCCCCCAAGATTGTGGCCATACCAGACTCGTTCAGAGTGGGAGGCCAGGACACCTCCCCAGCCACCACCTCTTCTCTAGGGCCTTCTACTTCCGGTTGACTTCTGAGGCCCATCCCATCCATCTGCTCCTTCAGTGCCTTGCCTCTCATCCACGTCAGCCCCCTCCCTCCAGCTCCTCCCTCTGGCTCCCTGGTGTACTCTCCCCACTCCATCACCCCTCCCAAGACAGACATCAAAGGATGCCCTAACAGGGTCTGCCCAAGTGGCGCTTTCTCAGACACTGTCACTATGTCAGAGTCCGTTTCTTTGCTTCTCTCTCGTCTTCGGAATGTAAAGGGCAGGGGTTGTGACTCAGCGCCACCTGCATCTGCCAGCACCCTGGCGACGTCAAGCATGTTCAGTGATAACAAAGACCATAGACCAAAGGGCTGTGATGAACAAAGCACTGGCTTGGTTGTTGCAGATGTGATCCGGGTCTCAAGGGCAGTCTCCCGAGCTGCTGTCGGTTAGGAAGTCCTGTGTGCTTTGAAATGTCCAGTATTGAGTACCCAGCATCTGGTGGCCTGGGGTACTGAGGGCCGATGAGGAAACTCGGCCTTCCAGTGCCTGCCCCTCCCCGGCCTGCACACCATCAGTGGATGTTCGCGGTGAGGCGCTGCATCTGTGCTGCCGGGTCTTAGGCAATTGTGCTTGTTTTTCATAAGAAAAAGCCCAAGGCTTTTCTGGGTGGTCGACACAGAAGGACAGACCAGATTCCAACAGATTGAAGGACAAGAAGCCAATAGATATGGCTGCAAGAAGATCCACGTAGAGGGCTTTGGGCTCGCCAGAGCTCAGTGTAGGCAAGAAGGAGGTGTGTCAAGAGTGATGACTGGGGGGCGCTGGGAGAATGGTCTCAGGTCAGACAGGAAGTTGGGTTTAATCTGTAAGATATTTACGTGGCACTACAGCTGTCATTTTATGTGCCTTTCACCTGTCTGAGTAGTCAACCTGTGTATTCATTAAAGGAGAAATGGTTGGCAGGTGGGTTGAACTTCAGTGAATTCTGATCCTGGAATGAAGCATTTCCTTTTAATTGTTATATGCACCTTTCTCATCTTTTGGTCAGCTTGAAGCATATTTCTTCTCTTGCTCTCGGAGCAGCCGCGATGGATGTGTTGGGTGCATTGGTTCTGTTCATAGCCCTCTATTGGATGCCTCTTGTCACTCTTAAATGTAACACCATAGTCATAATTGATGGAGAGTTGAGCTGTAAGCTTTTAGGACTAATTGCAAAGTCTAAACTGAAACATTTCCTGGAGCTGCCTTTAAATAATAATAATAATACCTTGTATAGGTGTAGTGCTTTACAATTTACAAAGCACTTCCCCATGCCTCATAGCATTTAATCTTCACAAGAAACACTGCTTTTTGAATGCTTAGATCTTTCCTAAGTGAGAGATCACATTGCACGTCCTGATTTAATCATGGTGAGTCGTCAGAAGTTCTTGATACAATAACCATTTATCGAGTACCGTCTATGCATAAAGCACTTTACTAAGGATACCGAGGGGCAAATTTCCAGTAAATAAATATCCAGTAAATAGTACCTATGTGACCTTGCTTCCCCATCACAGTCACTATTTCAGAGGCTGCTTGCTGAACTGTAAATTGATATAAATATTGCCAGGAATTCATTGTATTAGAGTTTAAGTTTTTAAAACTGAGGATTCTGATACTTAGTCTAAACTCCGTGTTTCTTCAGAAAGTCGTTGTGTGGATTTCAGCTTGCACTTTTCTTGAAGAACTTGCACAATTAACTTGAATCTCAAAAAAATATTTCAGACATCCTGCGTATTTGAAAATGCCTAGCCATTGCGTTCATGTCCTGATTAAGATGATTAGTGTATGATTCTAAGAGTACAGCTTGGCCCTCAGCCTCAGAAGGCTCATTATCCAGTACAAAAGAGGGCGTAATCATCTCTGCATTACGCCAGCAGCCTGATCGGCGTGTGGAGGAGCCTGAGGGACAAAGGACTTACCCGGAGGGAACTTTCTGCCTGAGGTGGGGGTAGAAGGTAGCGTTGGAGCCGAACCCAGCCCCAGGACTTGGAACCCGTGTCCAGGAGCCCCTGGAGTGTCCAGCCATGTGCTCTGGGCCACCGAGGCCCCTCACAGGATCTCCAAAGAGTAGAAGACCCCCAAATGATAGGAGTCTTCAAAGACCTTGGGGCAGAGTGGTCGCGCAGAGTGACCGACCTGCACACCCCCATTCCTTTCTCCATCGAGGACGGGGTCAGGGCTGCAGGGCTGCCATTGCCCATCGGGTCAGCTGAAACTCAGAAGTAGCCCCAGGGGCATCGCTTCTTCAGCCACCCTCCTGCTCCTTGTTTGGGGTCTTAATTTTATCAACTCGAGTGTTGCACAGCCTCTCATTCAGCTACTTGTTTGGTCGTGTGGTTTGGGAATGGAGAGGACAAACTGCGACGGCCTAATGTTTATTACTAGTGCGCCTCCTTCCTGGACACACAGGGTTTTTAGAATGTTTTCCCATGATATCATCTTTGTAAATAACAGCTTCCATGTCATTTACAAGGGAGGTCCATGTCTAGATCACCATCATCTCCTGGTTCTGGTCATAAGGAGCTTAGGCAATCACAGACCAGAGAACTCTTTTGGGCAGATGTGCCCAGTGCTTTATTTTGATCCAGCATATGCAGCTAGCCTCCGAACATCTCATAAATACTCTGGAGAGGACCACGGTTAAGAGATGGGGTGGGGTGGGAGTGTGAGCTCTAGTCTAAGTAATGTTTCCAACTGGGGCTGGCATCGTGCTTTAAATAAAAGTATTTTATTTTTAAATAAAAGTATTCTGATCATTTAGGTCTCTCTTTATAGGGCATCTTTTATGACCAAGACTGTCCAGTACCAAAATGAGCTACATAAATTCCTAATCTGGGATACAGCTGGACAAGAACGAGTAAGTCGCCGTTTAATTTACTACTATGTGTTTTTCTGAGGCCCACATTAAAGCTCTGACCAAACTGTCAATACCCTGTCATTGCATGTCACTCACTTCTCTCCTGTGCACCAGAGACACATTTATTTCCATTTGCGTGGGCCAGCCTTTTTCTTTTCAATTAGAGCCACAAAATCCACTGATGGGGAAAGTGATAATGGGCACTGAGGGCATTTTTATACTTTTTAGTGTCTCAGAGTAAACGCTGACTAACGGGCCTGATAAAAGCCCGCTCAGAGCATTGTGTGTGATTTGGGGCTCCGTCCTCCAGCAAAGATATAAAAGAATTAGTGGCAGAAAGGGAGAGTTAAGCACATCTCATTTATAGCTGCCTTTTAAAAGCTAAAGAGGGGACTTTACAGCATATAAAGTTTGAGATTTAAGTGAAACGGATGAGCTGACACAGAGCCAAGCAATAGGTACTTAATAAATGCCTGATGATCAAAATGTCCAAGATGGTTATCTGCTTAAGGAAGAGCCTGAACCAGGACTGGGGCCTGGGCCAGGACATCGGGTGCAGAGTGGGGTTCGCCGAGGCCTGCCTGCATCGAAGGCAAGGGGGGGGAACAGCACTCCCCCCACTGCCTCGTCTTCAAAACCTCTGGGCCCCAGGTCCGACTTCCCTGTTGAGGTGCGTCTGGCAGCCACCCCAGTTTTCAGCTGCTGTTTAATTGTGTTTTCAAAACAAAACATCTGATGGGTGCACAGCGCTATCATAAGCTATTAAAAGTGTACCAGAGGTAGTCAGGAGGAATAGTGTGTCATCACGGATCTGTCTGAGACGGCATAGATACCGTGTGTGGCATCCTGTCTGATGAGCCACCACAGACACATGGAGGAAGACCAGACAAACCATTACTGTTATCCTAGACGTAGGCACCGTACATTCGTACAGATTTCACGTCTCAGGTTTGCTGATTTTTGGTTCTGTTTTGTTTCGTTTGTTTTAATGCCGGGTGTCATGCCCCACAACCAATTACTCATCTGAGATGCGTCTGCCTGATCTCCCGTTGCGCACCCCCCTCCTGTGTGTGTTGTGCATCTAGAACGGAGCATTTAGGGTGGCTAGACCTCTGTGAAGCATCACTCTTCCACCCTTCACCAGCGTCACTCCCCGTAGCCTTTGTGAACATATCTATGGACACAGCCCTGGCGTCGGTCCTATTAGCCAGGAACGCCTGTGGCTCTTCATACCAGTAATATATGTACCTTTCACTGAATCCCCAAGTTTCAATTACCCCCTCCCATATATTTGATGATCCAGAAAAACCCTCATCATAAAGAATCATGCTAGAATATAGATTCCATTATACTTTGAATCAGAGCCTGTCCTAGGGTACACCATGATGTATAACATCTCTTTTTTCTAGAACATAAAAAAAGAATAACACAAGGCTTTATGCCTCTCCCTTACTGCTGCCATCATAGCAGGGCTCTTTTAAGTTTTGTAATTAGCTGGTTTGCCTGCCTCTTGTTTCCCCACTTGTAATTGGTTCTGCACCAGGGGTGCTTGCTCTGAGATGCAAATCTGCCTCCCCCTACCCCCACCCGAAGCACGGTCACTTAGCCGGGGGTTGGCCTAGGGGTCGTACAGCCGGCGGGCAGGGGTGCGACCCCGTGGAATCCATACTGTGGAGACCGTCGGGACAGGAGCCCCGGCTATGGGACGCCCACGCCGGCCGGCCGTTGCTGCGGGCCAGGAGTGGCGTCTGAGCCGGCCGGGTCACGGGCTTTAAGAAAAGCAAAACATCTGACCGCCAACCACAAACGGTTTGAAATGCTGTGGGCCTCCTACCGGACGCGTCTGTGGGCTCGCCGTGACAGCCAGCTTGTCCTGGGCGAGGCCCTTAAGACCTGACTGTGCCACACTCGGCCGGACTCCACTTTCCTCACTTCCCAGCAGTTTCACTTTTGGGACCAGACTGCTTATCGCCCTCCACCGTGCTGTACGGTCCCCTCCCATTGTCCCCGGGCACCGCTATTCCCTCCGCTCAGAACACCCTCCCTCCCACGTGAGCCCAGAAGCTCAGATGCAGCCTTCCGAACTCACCTCCGAAGTCACCTCAAGGAGGGCTTTCCTAAGCATCCCTGCTCTTCCCAGAGAAGTAACCACTTTGCCTCCTGCCCACATTGCTCACACCCGCGTCTGAAAGCTGCCTTGGACTCATCCCTCCTTGGCTGCCCTCATATTTGCTCATTCCATGTGCCTCGCAGCTGTGTCTTCTGAACGTACATCAGATACGGTCACTTCCCTCCACCTCCACTGCCAGCACCCTGTTCTCAGCCATCTGTGACTCACCAGAGGGTCCTTGTAGTCTTTTAACTGGTCCCCCTTCCCAGCCTGCCACCCTGTGTCGCTTCTCCTCACAGGACCTGGAGGGATCTTCTGAAAACAGAAATCACACACCGCTCTCTTCCTGCAGTGACTTCGTACCTCTCTTCTCATAATAGCTAAGGTCTAAATGGCAGCCTACAAAGCCCTGCACGGCCCGCTCTGCCTTCTAGCCCCAGTGCCCCGCCCGGCTCATCCTCTCTCTCACCCACTGAGTTCTAGCCCACCGGCCTCCATTCAGTTCCTCAAATGCCCCAAAGTCCTTGCCTCTCGGGCCTTCAGGTACTTTGTTTCTTCTGCTCTCTCCCCTCTGCTCAGAGCATGGCCAGCTGGCCCCGCCTGTTAGTCTCAGGTTCAATGACACACCTAGAGTTTTCCCTAACCCCCTGTACTTAAGCAAGGCTCCAGTGCATGCTCCATCCTGCCCCCTATTCATTTTCCTCAGGACCCTCATTACAAGTGGTAATTAGATGGTCTGTCTACTGACCTTGATTGACAAGAGCTGGAACCGGTGTCTTGTTCACTGCCCTGCTCCCATCGGCTGCAGAGCAGCTGACAGAGCACCAATGCTCAGACACTGGGTGAGCCAATCAGCGAATGAGCTCTGCGGAGTATTTCTTTGCGTCCCACACGGTCTCTGATGGCCCCCGTCCACGGGATCGTCGATTTCCTTACTTATCTGTCTACTGTTAGACTGTGAGCTCCCTGTGGGCAGAGACTGTATTCGTGTCTGTGCTCTCAGCCCCTGCCTGGCACACAGTATTGACGTCAGTGGGTTTATGTCATCTGATCGCCAGTCGTATCTGTGCACAGACAAGAAGGACAGATCATCTACCTCCTGTTACCATGTGAGTATTGCATGTCTCAAATCATAAAGTTCTGGTGTTTGCACACATATTGGTCAGTTCCCTACAGCAGTGACGTACATCATGGAACCAAAAGGCATCATAAAATGAAAGTCCTTTCTGATGAACCTACCATTCAAACATCCTCTCCATCTGACCCTCGCAGCTGTTGCTGCCTGTGGTTTTGGCAGGTGGATTGTCTTTTTGATGGTCCAGTTGCAATTGATTTCACTACGTCCGTGAAAGTGATTTTGGAGAACTTCACAGGCATCATGCAAAGCCGTTGATGGTGGGGATCTTGTTAAATGATGAGGAAAGTAGTGATAACGGTGATGATATAAGCGTTTCAGAAGATAATGATTTGTGGTCCGAAGAGTTGAGCAGCCTAGGAAGACCCTGATGGAGTCCTCGGATATTTCTGTAAAAATTTCCTTTTTATGACAGGATAGGAGAGTCAAGCATGAAATGAAAGACAGACATCATATTGTGCCATTGTGCGTATTGTTTCGTCAGAAGAATCACAGGTCCTCGATCAACTTCGATTCAGTGTTCATCCAGGAAAGTAGCTCGTGGTTGCAGTAATAAACCTAATTTTTTCCCTAACGTCAGATGAAATGAAACTTGTTTTCATAATTTGAATTTATTTTCTCTAGAGAGTGCCTTTGTCAGATCTGTTTGTCCCTGTTTGCTCTCCTAAGTGAGTTCATTTGAAGAGGCCTTCTTCCACCAGCCCTCCTTGGCTAACAAGGACGGCAGCAGTGATGTAGACAGACCCAGCACCGTGCGCACAAGCACCACAAATCCCGTAAATACCCTATAAACGGAGCAGCATTTCAGAGACTTGCCAAGAAAGCTTCTTAACCAGAATCTAATAGATACTGCACCCAGTCCTTAGATTTATGGCTCCGAATCTTAATGTGGTTTCTCCTGATGACCGTTTCCAGAGGTCAGAGCACCAGGAAGGCACAAAGTCCATTATTGTCATGTTTTAAAATCAGGAAAATGTGTAGTAGCTGAGTATCATTCTAGAGCTGGGGTTGACACCAAGGCCTGTTAGCCAGTGCAGCCTGCTGCCTGTTTTTAGAAGTAAAAGTTTTCTTGGAAGACGACCACACTCTTGCGTACGTAGAGTCTCTAGCTGCGTTCACTCTGCAGTGGTGGAGATGAGTAGCTGTGACAGAGGTCGAGTGACCACGGGGCCTAAAATCTCTGCTGCGCGGCCCTGTCCAAGAGAAGTTTGCCAGCCTTAATCTAGAGACAGATTGGGAGCAGAGATGTGCAGACATCCTTTGAGTGTCTTTTTGAACCGCCACTTTCTTATTTACCCCAAAAGGTCATGGAAAGAGTTTCAGTGTCAATAATGGTAGAATGGCTTATAAAGGATGAACTCTCCCAGAGATAACAATCATATACAAACTCTGGACAAAACATTAAAAAACAACTCTCACGGCACTGCCAAAAGTACTCAGGGACTGCGGAGGGAATGACCGGGGGTGAAGCTCACGTTTTTATAGCTTTTCCTCAGAGGCCACTATCCAGGCCATGCAGCAACGGTAGCCAGGACTCAACGCTGAAAGCCCCGGTTTTTAGCTTGTGCGATTTGAAGTCAGAGTTTGATGCTGCTGGAGACACTGGGAAGGAGGGCAAATCCCAGAAAAGATGGATCCGACAAGGAAGCAAGCTCTCTTGTCTGCTTAGAAATTCCCCTCAAGCCTCCGTTCGGCCCCCAGTTGCAAATGTGCCAGGGAGAACTTAAGGAATGGGACAGAAGAATGACAGCTAGAGTGGTGAGAAGGCTGAGCAGAGATGTGGCTGCTGCTCATCGCAGGAAAACCCGAGTTTGGAGCTGGAGTCCAGCCCCGCCTTCCTGGAGAAGAGTGCCAGACGTGACACCTTGGGCTTCCACTGAAAGCTCGGAACGTCCGGGCCTTGCAGGTGAAGACTGCCTCCCAGAAGTGCAAGTGGGCCCAAGTAGGATCCCCCCCACCACGTGTAAAACCAGCGTGTGGGTGACTGTCCACTATCTTAATGCTCTTCAGAGAAGATAACAGAAGCCAGAGAGTTTAAACATGTTCAGAGACTTCAAGGAAAAGTAGTCTTCCTGACTTAACTACACGTAGGGAACCTCGCGCAGAACGGAAACTACGGATCAGACAAATGGAAATGCTAGAGCTGAAAGCCGCAGTGCCTGCAGTAACCCCCCTGGATGGGTGGCAAACAGACTGGCCAGTCAGAAGAACCGGGAAAGAGTGGGGGCCCTAGCGCCGCTGGGACAGGTGCACACGACCTGATCTGTGTAAGCAGAGACCCGGTAGTGCTGAAGAGAGGGAAGCAGGACAAAGAGACTCCAAGAAAATCTCCCGAGTTTGGTGAAACACACCATCAACTCACAGAGCCGAGAAGTTCCAGCAAGCCTGTGAGTTTAAAGAAAACCACACAGACCGCTGAAAACCGGAGCTAAAGAGGGAAACCTGGAAAGCAGCAGAGACAATAGACACACTGTGCGTAGGGACAGCGGTGCGCACGGTCCCCCACTTCTCACAAAGACGGTGAAGGCTGCAAGACATTGGGACACAAAACATCTTGAAAGGGCTGAGAGCAGAGAGATGTCAATCTGCCGGAATCCTCTTTCAAATACGAAGTGAAAGGAATGACCTTTGTAGAGAACAAGATTCAGCCGCAGCCCCAGAAAGTGTTTTAGGCCAGATGGAGGCATCACCAGGTGGTAACCGGTCTCCATAAGAATATCTGGCAGAAATGGTAAATGGGAAAATCTGTCTTTTTTTTCCTTCTTGTTTACTGGTTATGAATGTAAAAATTATAACATTGGATCATATGGCTTATAGTACATGTAGGTCTTAAATATTTGACAGCAGCACAGGAAACAGTGGGATTAAAAAATTAGACTCTTGCAAGGTTCTGATATTTTATGTGAAGTGGTGCGTTTTAAACTCCTAAGCACGGGGCGCCTGGGTGGCTCAGTCGGTTAAGCGGCTTACTTTGGCTCAGGTCATGATCTTACAGTCCGTGGGTTTGAGCTCCACGTTGGGCTCTGTGCTGACAGCTCAGAGCCTGGAGCCCGCTTTGGATTCTGTGTCTCCCTCTGTCTCTGCCCCTCCCCCGCTCATTCTCTGTCTCTGTCTTAAAATTAAATAAAGACATAAAACAAAATTTTTTTAATAAAATAAACTCCAAGAGTATATTGGACTTACAAGAGCAACCACTTAAAAATACAAGAAGGTATACCTAAAAAGCTAGTGGGCAAATTAAGATATTATAATTGAATACTAAAAAATAGTGAAAAAAAAGAGGGGACAAAAGGAAAAACAGAGGATTGGTTTTTTTTAGTGGAATAAATCTAAAACAAATAGCAAAATGGTAGACCCTCTCACCAGCACATAGTTCAAGCCTGGCTTTTGATCCAGTCTGACAACCTCTGACTTTTAAGTGGAATTTTCAATTCCTTTACATTAAGGTACTTACTGATATAAGAAGATTACCTTTATAATTAAAACATAGCTTGAAAATAAGGGGATGGAAAAGGCTATTCTATGTAAATCATAAGTGAAAGGAAATTATTGTGGTTACGTCAGCATCAACAAATATCAGTAAAATAGACCTGAAGATAGGAGTGATTATCGGGGATAAAGAAAGGGTGTGATAAGAAGGGCATTAAAGAACTTTCTGGATTGATAAAAATATTTTACATCTTGGTAGGTGGTTGCATGGATGTGTACATGCACATCAGTCATTTTATCAAAATGTAAGATCTTTTTGCATTTCTCTACATGAATTTTACCCTTACAAATTTAAATAGAAAAGAAAACCAAAATCCCAGCAACTTTGTAAAGGTTGTTGCCAGTATCATACATCAAAAATGAAAGCTAAGGGGCACCTGGGTGGCTCAGTCGGTTAAGCATCTGACTTCAGCTCAGGTAATGGTCTCACAGTTCATGGGATCGAGCCCTGCGTCAGGCTCTGTGCTGACAGCTCAGAGCCTGGAGTCTGCTTAGGATTCTGTGTCTCCCTCTCTCTCTGCCCTTCCCCTGCTTCACTGTGTCTCTCTGTCTCTTAAAAATAAACAAACGTTTAAAAATTCTTTTTATTTTAATAATGAAAGCTAAAAATTATATATCCAATAAGGGGTTAACACCCAAAGTATATAAAGAACTTATACATGTGACTCAGCATCTAAAAAACAACAGATAATCTGATTTTAAAATGCGCAGAGGAGCTGAATAGACATTTTTCTGAAGAAGACATACAAATGTCAGCAGACACCTGGAAAGAGGCTCAACATCACCAGTCACCAGGAAAACACAAATCAAAACCACAGAGAGATATCCCCTCACAGCTGTCAGAACGGCTGGTATCAAATACACAAACAACAAGTGTGGGTGAGGATGTGGAGAAAAGGGAACCCTCATGCGCTGTTGGTGGGAATGCAAACTAGTGCAGCCACTGTGGAAAACAGTTTGGGGGTTCATCGAATAATTAAAATAGAACTACCATATGATCCAGTAGTTCCACCACTGAGTAGTATTTAACCAAAGAAAATGAAAGCACTAATTCGAATATACCTCTTGTTTATTGCAACATTAGTTACAATAGCCAAGATCTGGAAGCAGCCTCATTGATAAATGAATGGATACAGAGGATAAGGTGTGGGTATGTATACAATGGAATCTTTCTCAGCGATTTAAAAAAAAAAAAATGAGATCTTGCCGCCTTCAACAATGTGGATGGACTTAGAGAATATAATGCTAAGCGAAATAAGTCAGAGAAAGACAAATACCACATGATTTCACTCCTATTTGGAATCTAAAAAAGCAAACGAAAAAGCAGAAACAGATCCATAAACACAGAGAACAAACCGGTGATTGCAGGAGGGAAGCAGGGTACAGAGGTGGGCAGGAAGGCCAGGCCTCCACTTGTGGAATGAGTAGGTCACGAGGATGGAAGGTGCAGCATGAGAAATAGAGTGGGCGGTGTCGTCATTGCAGTGGCAGACTGGCAGCCGGCCTGATCAAGGGCACAGCGTCACCCGTAAACTTGTCAGATCACCGTGCCGTGCGCCCGAAGGGAACATTGTGCGTCCACTGTATGCAATGGGAACGGACGGATGGCCGAGCAAACAAAGGGAAGGGAGGAAGGGAAGGGAAGGGAAAGCTAGTAGGTCACTCTCTGTGCCACCCCACCCCGTGGAAGCCAGTCCACAGTCCTTTCCTTCGGGTAATGTAGCCTCCTCTGTGGTGCTTTCTTGCTTACCCTCTTAAGTTTTGTTATTTTCTGTCTCAAACTTACCCTGTTTGATTGGAAGTCATGAGGGTTTCCCCCCAGGGCCAGAGATCTTTCTTGCAAAGCGTAGTAAGACTTCCTGTGTATGGACATCCAGGCTGGCACTTAGTTTGACATCACCTCCTCCTCAAGCAGATCTTACTCATTTACTCCCCGATTCTTGCTCACCGACCGCGCGCCAGGCAGTGGGTGTAAGTGTGTACTTGGGCCTGTGGTACAATCAGCGCTTAGATCACAGGGTTATCTTTACGACACCCAAGTGCAGCTCCTTCTCTGGAGAACTATTTACAGCATTATTTTTATCTCCTCGATAGTTTGGGAAGCCAAAGTTAAAGGACTATTGAACAAATGAATTTGGGAATTATAACATGGAGTTCAATTAAAAAGCCTTTTTAGCTGAAACAATTGTTTATAGCCCCATATTTAATTCCTATAAAACTGTATTCTAAAGCATCTTCTGAGAGACATTTGACGTCACTTTAAAAGTTTTTGCCTTTGGTAATTACTGGTTCATCTGCTCTAAAGCATCACATCGTCTTATTTGGCTTAAGAGAAAGATTACCCTTTGTGTGGGGATGATGGGCTTAAAAGTCGAGTAAAGAACGTCTTTAACCCGCTTTCCCAATTTTGTTGTTTCTCCACAGTTTCGTGCCTTGGCGCCTATGTACTACCGAGGCTCGGCTGCAGCCGTGATTGTTTATGACATCACAAAAGAAGTAAGACTCTCCATTGCCCTTAGACTGTTCCGAACACTCTCTCTCGGCTGCTTAGCCCTCCAGTCGCTTTCTGTTCTTTGTGTTCCAGGAGACGTTTTCAACATTAAAGAACTGGGTGAAAGAGCTGAGGCAGCATGGCCCGCCCAATATCGTGGTTGCCATTGCAGGAAATAAGTGTGATCTTATCGACGTCAGGTAAGTTATTAGAACGGGAGATTCCAGTGCTGATTACGTGTTCCTTTTCCCCCCGAGCAATATTCAATATAAGAATCTGGCTTTTATTTTATCTCTGACATTGAAAAACTCCTTGTTGTTCAGTTGAAGTCCTGAAGTTTCCAACAAAAATTAAGAGTTCAGACATTGGGGGTGATTAGATTACACAGAGAGAGACAGGTGTGCAGTATACTGAAGCAGCGGTTACATCATACTTGACGTTATCTTAGATGAGTGTAGCCTCACCCCGTTTCCATGAAACGGGGCACTCGAATGGGGGGAAACATGGCTACTCTAAGGAAAAGACATTTATTGGCAGTTTGTCTGGACCACTTGGACCACTCCCATGATTCCCAAAACAAGGACTTCACTTTGGTGGGAGGGGGGCTCCCTTGCCATTCTGTGATCGTTCCCTCAGGTAGCTGGGTTGCTGGTAGTGCTGGACTCTGTTCTGTGACCGTGTAAGCGGTGTGATTGGGAGCACCGTGTTTTCAGGGCTCAGACACTAGCCGTTTGTGACATCCTTTGTCATCACAAATGTGGTTAATTACCGGGTAATTGTTGCCTTCCAGAGAAGTCCTGGAGAGAGATGCTAAGGACTACGCCGACTCCATCCATGCGATTTTCGTGGAGACCAGTGCGAAAAATGCAATAAACATAAATGAACTCTTTATAGAAATTAGTGAGTATCTCTGTTCCTTATGGGTTTTCCTCTGGGCAGAGCAACTTAATACAGAATCACGTGGCCGGGGACCGCCCCCTCCGTGCGTAGGAGAGTCTGGCGTCTGACACTGCTCTCAGTGGCAGGACACTGCAGGCTGCACACGTGGCGGCTGGGCTGCGGCTCCTGATCTGATTGCTGGAGAGCCACGGCCTGATGGCCGCGACTCTTCTCGAAAGAATGTTGCTGCTGAACAAATAATGCACCAGGCCTTGAGGTCCTGGAAGCTGTCATCTCCCGCTTTGTCTGTCTTTAAATGCGTTTCAGCTAGCCATCCAGAGTCATAGAAAATGAACAAAACAATAAGAAATGAAACGCAACTGTGATTCCATGTAAGAAAACCCTCAAAAATTAAAACCAGGCGAGTAAAATGTAAGACCTCCCTTTCCTGCCCCCTCCCCCTTCCCTTCCCGGAAGTGTGAATACGCTGCTGCTGCTGCTGCTGCTGCTGCTGCTGCTGCGAGGTGGAAGGATGCTGCCACATACCCTGGGGACCCTCTCCAGACCGTATCTATGTTTGTTCATTTCATTCCGATTCATCAGAATATTTATTGAGAACTGTTCTGGGGGAGAGAGCGGTGAACAAGACAGGCGTGGCCCCCGCTCTCCCAGAGCACGCTTTCTGCTTCAGGAGACAGGCAGTGAGCACGGGCTGAGTAAGATCCCTGCAGCCGACGTGCAGTGATGGGAAGCGGAGGTACGGATGAAGTGGAGGAGGGTCCGCAGGTGGTCAGGGAAGGCCTCGCTCTGAGGAGGTGAGAGAGGAGCTGAGACTGGGCGTGTCAGACTTGCAGGTGGAGGCCAGGAGAAAGGGCACAGCGGGCTTACTCGCTCAGCATCACCCACTGCGTGGGGTCAGAAGTCACCGAGGCTGGCAGGGCACGTGGCCGTCGTGTAGAGGAGGGCGCGCAGCCCAGCACCCGCCACGGCCAGGCGGGGGCTGCGACCCGGCACGTGGGGGCCCTGCGCCGGCAGGTGGGCTCACACCGGAATGTAGGCCCCTGGTTGCCCAGTTGCTGGGGTTATTTTCATGTTTTGATGATTTTCGTTTGTCCAGAGCTCTGGATTTTATGTAATAGGCCCCACTGTGTAGATTGGCCGCCAGTTCGAGAGTTCTCAGAGTGCCGTACAGGGGTGCCGTGCGGGGGTGCCGTGCGGGGGTGCCGTGCAGGGGTGCCGTGCAGGGGTGCCGTGCAGGAGTGCTGTACAGAAGTGCCGTACAGGAGTGCTGAAGGTGCTTTTAGAGTACTGCCAAGGCCAGCTGCCACCACACAGGGCCACGGGCCGGCCCGTCTCCAGCCCTGCGTCCGGCCGCTTCACTTGAGTGTTTGAAGTCGTGACGTTTAGCGTCTTCCTAGACTATAAATAAGAGTCAAATGCCCACTTGAAAGGCAGGAGTTCAAGCTGAAGCCTCTAAGTGTGCGGCGGTGTGAGTGTGCCAATACCGTTGTTATTTTGGTGTGGGGGGTGCCGTAGCAGTATTAAAAACAGAAAGGTAGTGAACGATGCCAACAATGAAAATTCTTAAAGGGGCGCCTGGGGGGCTCAGTCGGTTGAGCGTCCGACTTCGGTTCAGGTCATGATCTCACAGTTTGTGGGTTCGAGCCCCACATCAGGCTCTGTGCTGACAGCTCAGAACCTGGAGCCTGTTTCAGATTCTGTGTCTCCCTCCCTCTCTGATCCGCCCCTGCTCACGCTGTCTCTCTCTCCCTCTCTCTCTCTCTCTCTCTCTCTCAGAAATAAATAAAACATTAAAAAAAATTCTTAAATAAAAACTAGCACGTACATACTCATTTTAACTGTGAAAATTTTTTAAAAAGTCTATTCCCAAAGATGAGAAAAGTTGAGAGAGAGGTGAATCGAGTTGACTGTTTACCGGGTGTGGTAGAATGGCACCCGCACAGGGCCCAGCACGCTGACTTTACCGGAGTGTAACCTGCGCCCCGAAGGGCACTTAGAAGTGTGGGGCTCAGGGAGTTTTCACAGACTGAGTCTTCTCCCGCAGTCAGCAGTCGGATCAAGACCTGGAGCTCCCGGAGCTCCCGTATGCCCTTCAGTCCTTCCTGTCCCCGCCAAGGGAGCCACTGTCCTGCCTGCTGGCTCCTCAGACTTGTCTTGCCTATTTTTATACTTTAGTTTTTAAACATACTGTATTTATTCCTTTGCATCGACATCTGTAGTTCTGCGTTACGTTTGTCAGATTCATCCGGATCATTGCCTCATTCTCATTACCGTAGAGGGTGTGGGTGCGCGTGCGTGTGGAGAAGGGGACAGTGTCCACGGTGTGCTTGCCTGTTCTGTTGAGGGGGGTGTGAGTAGGTGTTGGCAATTCGGAGCTGTTGCTGACGGTGCCTCCGCGAGCTCTGCCTCGTGTCCGGTGCGCGCACTCTGGGCACGCTTGCTTGTCAGGTCTGTTTGGACCCAGAAGGACGATGGCCACACCCCTGGGCGTACAGGTGCTCCGTAGGAGTTTGCTGCTAACCGGTCTTCAAAGTGGTTACCCGAGCGGACGCTCCCGCCGCTGGCGTGTGGAGCCCCTGTCAGCGTCACCGCTCCCTGGCTCTTGATCTGCAGTTAATGGCCATGAGCCCCTTTCTGGATAGTTACTTAACGTTTATGTGGAAGTACCTGGATATCCTCCTTTGTGAACTTTTGCCTGTTTTCCTGTTGGGCTACCTGCCTTTTTCTTAACTATGTTTATCACTTATTTTGGATATGAGTCTGTCATTGGTCCCGTGTCCTGGTAAGATCTACTCTGTGGCCTGACTTTCATTTGTGAATCAAATGTTTTGATGAGCTGGCGTTTTTCTTAACATAATCCTGTTTATGCTTGTTTCCCTTTACGGTTAGCACATTCTGGCTCCTATTTAAGAGACTGTGGTCTGTTCCCAAGTCACGAAGAGGTTCTTCTCTGCCTTCCTCTAAGACTCTTGTCAGTACCAGCTGGATTCCCACCATCTCTTTATGGGAAACATGCAACGAGAAGCTTCAGTAAAGGTTTTAAGTAAATTTGCAGTTTATTCATGGTAGTGTCTACAGGCGTGAGAGTAGTCGTCGTAGGGCATTGTGGGGGACGGCTTCTAGTGCGGACGCCACGCCGTGGGCCACCCACCTGAGTTTGCAGGCTGCTCAAGCTGCAAACTTGAGGTCCAGGCGTGGCGCCCACAGACCTGAGAGCTGGCAGAGTCCACCTCAGCCCTGATCGTGCCGAAAGATGCGTGTGCCTGTTCATCCCGTGCTCTCAGAGTGCCTCCGTTCCTCGTGCCGTGCTAAACGGATACCAGAAACAAAGATGGAGAGACACGCAGAGCTTAGGGTCTAATTCGTAGTTCTGTAAGCATGGAAGTGCCTTGCTTCGGGCTTCCGACTGGCTCTGGTGTCGGAGGTGCTAGGGAGCTGGGAAGTGGGAGCGCCTCAGGAAGGCCTTTGTGCATGGACGCAGCCCTTGCGTTACCGGCCCAGGTAGGTGGATGTGATTTAAGGTTTCTCCTGAAATTGACATTCTGCTTCACAGAGCAGTAAAGGGAAACCTGTTCGCTCTCATGCATCGTTGGTAGGAGGATAAAGTGGCACAGCCTCTTCAGAGAGCAATTTGGCGGCATCTGTCAGAATTTAAATCGCACGTCCTTCTTGCATTTGTGCTAGACCGACACTGGGAATACGGTGTGTGTGTCAGACAAATACCCAGGAGTAGAATAGCGTGACCCAGTTCTTCCACTCCTGTTAATTTATCTCACACGCTGGTTCACAGAGATATTGTTTACACTGTTGTTAATACCATCACGGTGTTGGAAACAAACTAAGTATCCATCAACAGGGGAGTGGTTAAATAAATTACGGCACCTCCATGCAGTGCGCTGGCATCGAGCTGTTAGACACAGAGCTGCGGTACAACAGCCCCAGGATATGTTCAGTGGAAGCAGCGAGGTGGACGACCGTGCACGTGGCTGCTCCTCGCGGGGCCGAAGGAGGGGGACAGGGCGGGGGGGAGGCTAGAGAGGTGTGTGCGTGTGCTGTGCGTGTGTGCGCACACCTGTCTGTGGACGGTGCTCTGCCCCGAGGCAGAAGGACAGGCATGTTCTGATGGAGGTTTGCGAGCTGCACATACTCCCTGCTTAGAATGCCTGGTCAACCTGTAATTTCTTTCTAATTAAAAAAAGTTTTGCCAAATGCAATGTGATGTCCTTGTTTGGACCCTTGAACAGAAACAGTACATGAGTAGAACAACTGAGGTCATCTGATAAAAGTCTGAACCTTAGTTAGTGATGTGCCAACATGCAATTCTTCATTTTCACAGGTAGCCCGTGGGAACGGAAGATGTTAACACTCCCCGGGAGAGGGGCGTATGTACACATACCCTCGACGCTATCTTTGCAACTTTTCGATAAATCAAAAATTGGAAAAATGTGATTCTTTTTACTTTAGTGAAACCTGTCAGTTTTCATCTGCACAATCGTTGCTTCTGGAAATAAGCCGATTGGAAAATTAAAGCTCGTTCCCTTCCCTCTTCTTCTCTCTGTCTAGGTCGAAGAATCCCGTCCGCTGACGCCAGCCCCCCATCTGGCGGGAAGGGCTTCAAGCTCCGGAGACAGCCTTCCGAGCCACAGCGAAGCTGCTGCTGACCAAGCTGCGGCCTTCCGGGCTGAGTGACGAAGTAGGTGGTCCAGGGAGCTCACAGGAGGGCGGGGGGCCCTGCTGGCAGGTTTCGCCTCGCCAGTGTAGGGTCTTCTTCTTGCAAAAAGGATTCAGAGAAATTGGCCAGTTCCACTTCCTCTTTGGAGGCTGCCGCGGTAATATTTCAGTCTGCAGACCTCCATCACGTAGAGAGGCTGGCGTGCAAAGGAAGGGACTGCATCACTGGCTTGACCTTGCCGAAAAGGAACACGTAATTGTACGGATGACAGGATTACATTGCTGAGTAGTTTTATAATCAAGATTTTATGTAACATTTGTAAAGGGGAAATTAGCACTTTCGTGGTTCTCGAGGGAAAAAAAACCTTGTGGAGATTGTAATTTCCTTGGTTTCCCGTTACCACTGCTACGGGGAGTCATGTCATTTAAGATGCGGTAGGTGATCGTAAGTGGAGGGACGGCAATTATCACATGAAGCTAAAATGGGTTATTTATAGGCCCGATGGAAATGCCTCCGTCCCCGCCATCTTGAAAGCACTTTTCCTTGAAGACTTTAGGCCATGACACTTCCAGTAAGTTAATACAGTACCAACAGACGCATGGCTCACCCGAGGCTGGCATTCTGACCCTGTCCTGTGCGCGTCACAAAACCCATTACTGGCACCTTTTTAAATACGCTCTCACAGTCAAGATGGCAGCGGCAGAGGGAGGTGCCTGGAATGAACCGAACTGCGTGTGTCCGAGCTGAGGAGCAGGGGTGTAAACCGAGGAAGAAGAGAGAAAGCAAAGGGGTGTGAACGGTGGGGAGGCCAGCTCTGTCTGTTGCCCAGCTCATGTAAAGTTGTCGTCTGTATTTATGAGACCGTTGCTTAAAGATTATAAATGATGTAAATACGTGAATAAATTCTATGTTTCCTCCAGCACTCCATTTAATCTCGCACCCCGTGTCTCCATCTGCCCGCCCACTTTTCCGCCCGTCTGCAGGGGACTCCGAAGCACGTGGCTGTGCGAGGGCACAGAGCCCTTGGCTCACAGCCCTTCAAGATGCCTGTGCCTCGCCTTCCACGCACCCCTCCCTTCCACACCCCATCTGGAAATCGTAGTAAAGACATATGCCACTCTGACGAGCCTGCCTAGCCCTGCCTAGCCTGCGGGCAAAAGATTAAGCTCCAAGTTTAAGTCATTTCACCTGGTCTTGGTAATCAGTTTCTTGTAGCATTTACAGCGGCCTCAGACAGGTGTTCTAAGCGAGCTTTCCTTGTTAACAATCCCGCTTATCTTTCCGTTTCCTTTATTCCCCTGCCTCCGTCAGCGGTTAACACTCCTTCCCTCAGGGTGCCTAATGAGGTTTTTAATACAATCTAAAAATAAAGCGCTGCAGTGAGGTTGGTGACAATTTGCTCCTGGTCTAATCTGGCACCCTTCCAACCTGAGTATTGTATGGGAAGGAAATTTACAAGATTAAATAGGAAATGAAACAGCTTGAGTTTCAAACTAAATTGTGTTTTCAGAGCTATCCTTAAGCTGAACAGTTGAAACTTTTAAAAATAATTGTATTTCCCTGTGCCCCCCACTTGACATGGGTAGATTTTAATGGGAAAATTATAACGCAGATTAAGTAAAAAACGATTCCCTTTTCCCTGGTGGATATCTTAAGCATTTGGAATTATTTATTCTCTTACTGAAATCATAAGGAAGGAATGTAGTTGGGGAAGATTCTAACATTGTGTTTAAAATACATGTGGACTCTGTACCCTCCCAGCGTCTTGCTTCCTTCCCACCGTGAAATTAGCAGCTTTGAGAGAAAACACGTGGTTCCAGGGGAGGGTGGGCGCCCAGCACCTGAAGGGGAGGAGGGGAGACTGTATTTCCTATATGTCCAGACGGGGCAGGACGTCTGGCCCCGTGCCCTGGGCCGTCCCGGATGGACGTCCCCACTGCTGGGCCTCCATCTCCACAACAGCAAACAAAATGAAAACAAAGGCTGCTTGACTCATAACCGAAGAGGCGATGCGTGTGTGGCCCTTTCTGTCTTATTTCACCTAACGGTGAGGCAGATCTGTGACCTTCACGGTTTCTCCTCCAAACCTGTCGGTGATTTCACGGTGCCTGGCTGCGCAGGGGAAGGCCGTCCCGCGCCGCATCCCCCTCCCTCCCTGTTGGGACGGTCACTGCACGCAGCCCAGAGCACGGCCGGCCTCGCGGGCCCCCACAGCTGTTTTCTCTTCACGACTTCTCCTGGCTCCTCCCCGTATGTGGAGAGTGTCTCCTCGGGTTACGGCCATGCGTTCAATAGTCTCCAGAGGACGGGTGATGCGGGTGATGCTCAGTCGGTCAGGCGTCCACCTCTTGACTTCAGCTCGGGTTGTGATCTCACAGCCCGTGGGTTCAGGCCCCGTGCTGACGGCGCCTCCACCCTCCCTCCTCGCTTCCATCAGAGGGTTTCGAGAACCGACAAGGCCCCGTGCCGCCCGGACCATCCTCTTCCTGCTCAGCAGCAGCAGCAGCAGCAAATTCTTAGCTGCCGTCCAGAATGTTCTCATTCGTTTTGTTTGCTTGTGTGATGCAAAAGAGGAAGATTAAAGGCAGAAGCAGTGTTTTATTTTGAACACACCCTGGATTAAGGACCCAGGACCTGACCAAGCAACGATCTAATAGACATTTCATACGGTCATACATTTCCTAAGATATATCTTTTTGTCTTAGAAAAAAGCTAGATTCCAAAGGAATTGACACACAGCCCATCTCTAAAAATCTTCTTTTTGGTTCCCTTCTGACAAAGGGCCATTTGAAAAAACTTTGGGGACTGGAAAGCAAAAACTCCCTAATTAGCTGCAAGTATGTATCGATTCCTCTCAGAGACACTGAAATGAGCTCTTTTGCAGGTGTCCAGGCCAGGAACCATCGGGCTCCAGAACTCTCCTTTCACACAAGTGTTTTTCTGATTCTATGATAACTAATTAACCATCATTTGGTGATTAAAAGAACATAAAGTAAGAGTATGATTAAGTGTCCTTCATTTGAAACTCTCTGTAACAAGTGATTGGGGAGAAGTACCTATTAGGAGCCCTTCTGGTTCCAAATGAGACTCCATCACCTGCTTTCAGCCGCGGGCAGGCTGAGCGCTACGCGGAGTAGCTGAAAGATTCCCTCCCTCTAAAATAACACTTTCCTTGTTCCCCGTTTATGATTATGTTTGAAGCGGACGCCTCCCATATCAGAGGGTTGAGCCCTTTGTATTAGAGGCTTGACCTCCCCCTTTCAGTGGGCTGGTGCCCTCCTCGAGGTGATCAATTCTCATTATTTTTAAATACATTAAAAAGGGAAAGAAGAGCACATTTCGTTTCTAGAACTTCCCTTTTGAGTCTTGGATTTATTTTTGTTCTATTCTCAAGAAGGAAAACAGGTCTAGGAGATCTTCTAAATTAAAACTCTGGGAGATAATAGTAATGAAAATGGCCTTTCGACAACTCTTTGTGGCTCTCCTGGTGATACCAGACCAAAATATCTGTACTTTCCCAGCCCTGCGTTCAGATGGACAGGTTTGAGTCAGATCACATTGCGGTAGTTGGCGTGTCCGCCTCAGAGCGTGAAAAGGTGTTTGTTCGTTGTCTTCTGCAGCTGTTAATGTTCCGTGGGTGAGCTGCGAAAGAAGATCTATAAATTCTTAGAAGCGCTTTTTCCCATTCTTTTGTTGTTTTTTGTTTTTGTTTTTCCCAGAGCTCCCTGCGAACCTGCTTCCCGCCCCCTTGGTTACATAAGACAGAGGAGCGTGCTGTGTTACATAGGACAGATGGGCAGAAACCTGTAGGAGAGATGAGAGAATCCTTTCCTTCTGGGGAAAAGTCACTGAAAGCCCCTCACCTCTGACACCTCCTCGGTTCCTGCTTTACAACTTTGTGGCGGAAGGCAGCCCGCAAACTCGGGCTGGCTCTCTTCTCTGTCTTCTGTAAATGTTCCTCCCACCTCTGTGGTGATGGAAGGTAAAGGCAGGAAATCAGCTAGCTGGTGTGAGTTTGTGGAAAAGCTTCCTTTTTTATATTTGTTTTAAAGGGACTTAGCTGCGTGACTTCTGTTTACAGTTTGACTTCAGGAGATCCTCTACCTCTTAACGGTTAATGTGGTTTAAAGGAAGAAATGGAAGGTACCTTTAAGGACCAAGCTATCACTGTATGCCCGCCTTCAGTTAGCTTGGTCCATCAGAAGTTCAGCAGCACAAGGGGATATTTAGGAGACTTATTTTAACCCCTGTGCTACTGTTATAAAAAGTAGTCCAAGCAACAGATTTATTCGGGAGACACGCATTATGCTGCATGGTTTTAGCAAAGGGTGGTTGAGTGGGAATTTAGCCTAGGAGCGGGAGAAATGGCCTCTCCCAGTTCCTCTGGACAGAGAGTTCCTCGTCTTGATTTCCAGTAATAGAAATCCAGGCAATTTGATTATCCGATTTGCAAAAAACACTAATGGCATTCTGGGGGCATTTGTCCTCTTTTATGTGCAAATGAAAGTCTAAAAAATATTAGAAGGGTATTACATTTTTCAGAAGCCTCTACTTTTTCAGTCTAAGAGAATGATAAGAGAGACCCGGTGTGATGAAGTTTCATTAGACATAATGAAGAAAGGGAATAAATAAAACTGAGAATCCCCATATTTCTCTGTTTGTCCTTCAGGATTCTCTGAGTATATAGGAAAATGATTTACTTTCCAAATCTAGAAGGACATCCAGTAGGCATAGATCAACTTTAATTTGATGGTCTGCACCATCAGAAATAACTAATATCTGTGTTCTTTCCTTTTAGAGGATAATCAATATAGATGCTAGGATATTTTCAGCTTCAAAACAAAAGGATTCCGAAGTTTAATAGAAAGAAAAATTTTAAACCTTTCGTCTTCTCCTTTTACTGCATTGAATATTTTAGACAGTGAGACGAGGCTGTGTCACCAGGAGACACTGGAAGTAAAACCACGGAGTCTGAACAAATTGAACAGAAACAAAAATGTTTATATTTACCCCGGTGCCCCGGACCTCATCAGCATGCTTCATAAACAAGCACAGTTCTGGATAGCTTTCCATGAACAGGAATCCACTTGCCCAGAATTTCAGCTAATTAATGGGAAATCCTAAGGTAGTAATGATTTTTTGAAAAAGCCCTCTTTAATTGGCAGTTTTAAAGTCCAGATCTTAGCGTTCCCCCTAATCATGCAGAAGAAGCAAAACACACTGGTGTCCATGCCACTTCTTGATTCAGGAACTTCTCGTTGTTTCTGGAAGCCAGTTGTTTAATGCAGCGGTTGTAAGGACCGCATCTTTGAGTAGCATACTGCGCCTGAGGCCGGTAATCTTTGCTCAGAACTGAAATCGTCCAGGAGACTCGCACATCTTGCTCCGGGTTGTAGAAAAGCAGAGCCCACCTCCTCTGTCGGGCGAGCCCAGAGCCCCCCGGCTCCCCAGCTGGCGTGTGGCAGGTGGCACGCCCCAGCCCCACTCTGAGGCATGCATTTCGCTCTGGGGCTTCGTTCTAGTACCGGTTGGGCTTGATCACTTTTTTAATCGAATGTGTGCTTGAATAGCCTGTTTTGCCCCCTGAAACACTCAGAAGGCGAGGCTGAAGTCTGGGGGCCTCTGCTGACTCCGCAGATGAGGTTATGACACAGTTGATGAAACTTCGTCTTAATGTGGGCCTTGCACGTGATGTCAGAGTGACTGGTCGATCGGGCTGGGAGGCGGGGGGAGTTCTCGGCAGCTGGGCAGTCAGAGCAACTGATGGGTGGCTCTATGCTTAAACCATTTGTTGTCTTGTGTAGACAGGGCTGTGTTACCCTGGAAAAGATTTTTCTTTTTTTACTCTCCGCCAGCTCCGTCTTTCCATCATTTCGCCTGATGAGTCATTCACATCATTGTCCATCATGCCTCTGACCTTCTTAAGAATCGATGTCTTGCCTTCTCTGTGATTGAAACAGACTTCTTGCCTTACTTCTCTTCTTCTCACTTCGCGGTGGGTTCTCCCTTCAGGACGCACAGCACCAGCCACCTCCTTAGTGCATGTGACACTTTCCCTGGGCGCGGCAGTGGGCTGCGCCCGCCACGTGCAACGAGCGCTGGCAGAAATCTCGAAGGCTGATCTTAGGCCAGGAGCTCCCATACTTGCAGAAAGGGAGTGAGCAGCACCGGTGGACAGTGGCCACAGGACTGAGTGACAGAACGGTTTTTAGAGTCGGTGATGAGGTAGTTTGTCAGAACGGCGCGTGGTTTCTAACAGCGTTGGTTAAGCATGTAGAGACACATGTCTGAAGTCTTGAAGAGAAACAGCCGTGGAGATGAGCCTTGACCTTTAAAAACGAACAAAAAAATAAACAAACAGAAGCTATGCTGTCATACCAGCAGCTCTTGTGTCTCCTAAGAATGTCATGCCTTTTCAAGACCCGATGCAAGGAGTAAGATATTTGTGCCTTTCTATAATAGCATCTATTATGAAAAACACACACACACACACACAATGAAGTTGCTTACAGTTTAGGCCGCTTTGTAGCACTAGAAACAGCCCGCATGTATAGCCCTGGCTTCACCGCATGTCGCATCGCTTGACTACCCATGATGCAATACGTCGGTGGGGGGGAGGGGTGGCCAAGGTCATATGGACGTCAAAGACTTTATTTTTGCAGTCTTTACCTTGGGCTGGACCTAAGTCTACATGTAAACCCTATGATGTCTGTATTGTTTCTTGATGCTGACAAAAGAAAACTAAATCTTTTGAGTTTTCGTTGTTAAGATTTTTCTTTTTATACGTAATGCTGATAGTAGGTCGTTTGCAAGCGGTGGTAGATTTGGCATACTTTCATTATACTGTGTTGTTTTAGCTTGCGTATTCTATAATCAACTTTTATAGAGCATAACGTGCTAAATCACTCCAAAGTTTGTTGTATTGTAAGAAGGGTGTAAACATTTTGTTAATAAAATGCTATGTTTACAAATACACGTATTTGCCTTTCGAATGGTTTGGTCTCTCTCTGAGGCAGTATTGAGCACATGTTCCCGAGCCAAATATTCTGAAGTGGGTTTGAAAACTGTTTTTGGAAAACTGAAATGCGCCAGCTTTGCTAGCGGCCACCGCCGCCGCGTCTGGTGAGCAGCGGGTGTGTGTGTCATCGTCGCTTTGCCCTCCCGGCTTCCTGCAGCTCCCTGTCCGCATCCTTCCTCCATGACCTTCCTCAGGGAAGGTGGAGGCGGGGCGGGGGCAGGGCTGCCGGGGCCACACTAGCATCTACTAAGTGAGAAAGCGCTGCACACCGTCTCGCAGCCTCTGCAGGGTCTCTTCCAAGGTGCCCTTCTGTTCTGACGTTGACTTGAACCCCGAAATCCCCGCCATCCATCGCCTGCACAGGTCGGCCCCACCTGCTCGTCCTCTCTTCCACGTCCCCCCCCACAGAAGTGCCTTTGTCGTGGCGCCGTGATTGTGTAGAGAGCACTGATGTGTCCAGTGGGGGCGCCAGAGAGGACTGCAGATGGACAGACCTGGGTTTGAGTCCCGGCCAGCCCCTGTCCAGGCTGTGTGGCCCTGAGAAAGCTCTCACCCTCTCTGAGTTCCATTCCCTTCATCTGTAAAACGGGAAGCTGACACTTGGGGACGACACCAGCGTCCAGCCCAGTGTTCACAGAGAGCGAGCACTCTTCCTGTGGTCTGGTGTTGTGTGTTTTTTAACATATCTGACCATATAACTTTTTAAAAATACTTATTTTTGAGAGAGAGCATGGGGGCGGGGCAGGGAGAAAGGGGGACAGAGGATCCGAAGCAGGCTCCACACTGAGAGCAAAGAGCCTGCTGCGGGGCTCAAACTCCCCTTGAGATCATGACATGAGCCAAAGTCAGACACTCAACAAACTGAGCCACCCAGGCCCCCTAATTTGTTTTTAAAAGCCATCTCCCTGATCATCTTTATCTGGTTCCATTTAAAAAATCTATTTGTCATTGGTTTGTTGGGGGTTTTTGCATTTTTTTTTCTAAAGTAGAACATGCACAGAAAATGCCATAAGTACAGTGTAAGCCTCTTTACATTTTCACAAAGGAGACACCCTTGTACCCACTCAGGTCGAAAAGCAGCATCACCGAAGCCCAAAAGGCCCACCTTGTGCCTCCGCGCAGCCGCTATCCCGCTTTCTAACATCACAGGGCCCTTTTGCCTCGTTTTGAACTTTACACGCACACCCTGTGGTTCCCGTCTGGCTTTCATTCAACGTGGCGTGCCCTGTTCACGCTCGTTTTCGCAGCTGTGTACGATTCCATCGTGTGAATAAACTGCCACTGACTCATGCACTCAGCACACACAGGCACGGGGGCGTGTCCGGAGTGTGCCCTTCTGAACGCAGCACAACAGGCGCTCTTACACATGGCCTCAGTGCCGCAGGCAGGTGCCGGGAGGGCACACCCTGGGACGGAATGTCTGGGTCATGGAAGACAAATGTATTTGTGGGTCTATTTATTTTTGCTTTAGTAGATACGGTTTTCTTTTTTTTTCTTTTTATTTATTTTGAGAGAGAAAGAGTATGAGCAAGGGAGGGACAGAGAGAGAGAGGGAGAGAGAGAGAGAATCCCAAGCAGGCTCTACACTGTCAGCACGGAGCCTGATGCGGGACTCGAACTCACAAACCGTGAGATCGGGACCTGGGTCGAAATCAAGAGAGTCAGATGTTTAACCGACTGAGCCACCCAGGCGCCCCCATAGATAGAGTTTTCTAAAGTAGCGTCTCCATATAACTCCCGCCCCCCGCAGTCTATGAGAATTTCAGTTGCCCGGCTCCTTTGCCAGCACTGGGTATATTCTCGACCTGAGCCATTCCTGCAGGTGTGTATGGTATCTGAGAGTGGAATTTGCATTTTCCCATTCGATATATGCTTTACAGGCTTTTTTAATTGTTCCCGAAAGGGAGCATGTTTCTTAGCACATACCCTCCAGCATTAAGACATACAGACACACGGAGCGGGAGCTGCGTGTGGGGGAAGACAAAGCACAAGGCCAGGTCCACAGGCCCGGGGCAGCCCTCCCGTCCTGCATCTGGCCCTGTGATACAGCGGAGCAGGAAGGGCCCTGGCCGAAGTGGGGAGCTGCCCCAGAAGAGGCTCCTGGGTCTCTGTCGGTTAAGCATCCGACTCCTGATTCCAGCTCAGGTCGTGATCTCATGGATCTTTCAGCCGGCAACCTGCTGGGGATCCTTTCTCGCCCCCCCCCCCCCGCCCATCCCCTGCTCGTGTGCCTCTGCGCATGCCCGCGTGCCCTCACCATCTCAAATCTCTCCCAAAAAATTAGAAGGACATTAAAAAAACAAAGGTGAACCAAAAATGGGAGCTAATGCTTGCTACGTATACAGAGGAGCAGGTTTCTACCTTTAGTTTCCTAAGAGGGCCTGCAAAGCGAAAAGAGCAACCCTCCCTCAGAAAAGGAAATGATCCACATTTAAAGACCCCCCCCTGCCCCCCCCCACACGCTCCGTACAAGAATTCCCAAGTCAACACGAATAGCACTGCAGCCCTGCCTACAACTTGTTTATAACTTATGGGAAAAGAACATAAGTCAACTGTCACGTGCAAATTAGTGGAAAGTTGCCCAGTGTACAGTTGAATGACAAAAGCTAACATGAGTATGCGCGCGGCGTCGGACTCTGTTTATGTAAAATGACTGAGGCACCCGCGCGTGCCTTCACCACACGGGCATGCTTTTAAAATGCGGAGACGCATCCTCCACGCTGTTAGCGGGCACCAACTCTGAGGGAAGAGGCTTGGATGACAAAGCCACCTTTACTCTCTCCACGCTTTACATCCGCTCGCATGCTTTTGACATTACTAGTGTGGATGTGTGGGTTTTTCTTATTAAAAACAAGCAAAAATTCAGGAATTCCTGCACCCTAAGGCTGACTCGGATCAAGAATGGAAACTGACTAAATAGACAGACTGAAGTGACGGGCATCTTATTCTTTCTCCCAGGGGCGCCTGGGGGCTTAGTCGGTTAAGTGCCCGACTTCGGCTCAGGTCAGGATCTCACGGTTCGTGGGTCCAAGCCCCACGTCAGGCTCTGTGCTGGCAGCTCAGAGCCTGGAGCCTGCTTTGGATTCTGGGTCTCCCTGTCTCTCTGCCCCTCCCCCACTTGTGCTCTGTCTCTCTCTCAAAAATAAATAAATGTAAAAAAGTTTTTTAAACACGCCTCTCCCCTTCAAACCCACATGCAGAGTAAGTGAGAGTGCAAACTGGTGCAGCCGCTCTGGAAAGCAGGGTAGGGCTCCTCAGAAACGTAAAAATAGAGAGCAACCCTATGATCCAGTAATCACACTCCCGGGTATTTACCCAAAAAATGCAAAAACACTCATTCAAAGGGATACATGCCCTCTCCCCACCCCTCCCCCCTCCCCCCCAGTGTTCAGTGCAGCGACACTGAGGATAGCCAAATTATGGAAGCAGCCCAAGTACCTATTGGCTAATGAATGGACAAAGAAGGCGTGGTATATGTGTGCAAGGGGTCATGACTCAGCCATAAAAAAGAATGAAATCTTGCCATTGGCAACAACATGGATGGAGCTAGAGAATTATGCTAAGCAAAATGTCACTCAAAGACACATATGTGACTTCACTCGTGTGGAATTTAAGAAACAAATGGACAAAGGGGAAAACAGAGACAAACCAAGTAACAGACTCTTTGTTTGTTTACTTACTTTAGAGCACAAGCAGGGGAGAGGGGAAAGGGGGAGAGAGAGAGCGCATGTGAGATCTCAAGCGGGCTCCACATTCGCTGTGGAACCCAATACGGGGCTCCATCCCACGACCCTGGGATCATGACCTGAGCCAAAACCAAGTCAGATGCTCAACTGACTGAGCCCCCCAGGCGCCCCAAAGGGCTCTCAACTACAGAGAACAAACTGATGGTCACCAGAGAGGAGGTGGGTGGGGAGATGGATGACATAGGTTATGGGGGCGGAGAGCCTGCTTATTTTGATTTTTTAAAAATGTTTTATTGGGGCGCCTGGGTGGCTTAGTCGGTTAAGCGTCTGACTTTCACTTAGGTCATGATCTCGCGGTTTGTGGGTTCGAGCCCCGCGTCGGGCTCTGTGCTGACTGCCAGCTCAGAGCCTGGAGCCTGTTTCAGTCTGTGACTCCCTCTCTCTCTGACCCTCCCCTGCTCACACACTCTGTCTCTCCTAGAAATAAATAAAGCATTAAAAAAAATTTTTTTAAATAAAAAAAAAGTTTTATTTATTTCTGAGAGAGAGAAAGAGGCAGCATGAGCAGGGGAGGGTCAGAGAGAGAGGGAGACAGAATCTGAAACAGGCTCCAGGCTCTGAGCTGTCAGCACAGAGCCCGACGCGGGGCTTGAACCCACGGACCGTGAGATCATGACCTGAGCTGAAGTCGGACGCTCAAATTGACTGAGGTACCCAGGCGCCCCTAATTTGATGAGCACAGGGTGATGTTTGGAAGTGTTGAATCACTGTACCGTACACCTGAAACTAATATTACACTGTATGTTAACCAACTGGAATTTAAATAAGAACTTAAAAAAAAAAAAAACTTAAAAAATAAACCACACGCCTCCCCTTCAATGTGGTCAAGCTTAGAGCCACATTTGGAGCAAGTGTGTAGAACTTCACACACTTTTTTATTTTGATACTTGACGTAAATCTTTTCAAGCTGCCCTAAATCCTCTTAGAGGGGATATAAATAAATATATGTTAAGCAGAAGAATATTAGTCTATAGCCTGTCAGAATAGTACTGTTGGGAAGCCAGTCTCCTTTATAGATGCCAAGAAAAGAGAATGACTTTGTGCCAAAGAGGAAGAAACAAATTAGCACACACCCGAAACAAACAGGGATGTTTTAAATGCATACACTAAACAAATTAACTTTATTTTTCCACAAGCAATTGGCTGCTTGCCTTAGAGCATATAAGAACCAAATCACGGACCTGGGTTTCCAAGAAACCTTAATGTTTATT